TGAACCTCCTTGTTTAAAACACATTCAAGGAAGACACAACCTGGAAAAAGAGGCTTCATTTTTTCAGAGTAGGAGCCATTCCTTAACTTCTTTTTCTCCCGAACGGCAGGAAAATAAACCTGAGGACAGATAATGAAGATGAAGTCGGGCTATCTCAATAATCAAAGTATGTCGCAACGAATAATGGAATGAAGAAAATAAAAAACCAAAGCTCCTAGTTGAACGCTTCATCAAAGAGAAGGTGCAACCAAATTTTCTATTAGTAAGTGCTTGTAAACAGTAAAATAGTAACAAAACTCAGAAAGTGCAAATCTTTTCTTGAATTATAGCGATGTGCTGCTTAACTGAGCCTTAAACAGCAAATCCGGAGTATTTCATCAGAAAAAGAGGACCAGAACGGAAAGGGAGAGAAACCTTGAACTCCATTTCCGGGAAAACTCGGACCAGGGCTCTTGCGAGGCGATCGGCGGTCTCCTGGCCATTAACCCGGGCAACGCGGACAGTCCACCACCGCGGTCCGAGCTTAGCGAGGTTGTCAAGGTTTAGCTTCTCCTTCCAGGTGGAGTACTCCTTCTTCCGCCGCCGCGCGAGGTGCTCCTCCACGGCTTCCCTCCAGCGACCACTAACCGCGGCATTCCGCTCTCGTCTCTCATTCCTTAGCTGCCGCCTCTCCCTCGCGTTGAGATGGCCGTCGGCTGCGGCAGTAAGCGATTCCGATGAGGTTGAGGGGGAGGAAGAGGAACAGCGGATGGAGATGCGGGCAGAGGGGGGGTGTGAAGGGAAAGATGGAGGCTTTGGGATACAGAGGAGGGACAGCCCTTGGAGCATTACCGCCGGTCTGATTTTCCCGGGCTGATATTTTTAAGGAATAATTCTGAAAATAAGTACTTGTGTATTGGGTTCAGATAAACTGGATCGTCACACAGATGGTGTATGATTTTAATCAAACGGGCGGATTTTTTTTATCAATGAACCTTCTTGGAGGGACACAGAGGCGTTTGTGATGGGCCCTTTGCCATTTTTTTGCCATTTTTATGAGGTGTTCCGGAATCAGCTGGGCAGCATGAACTACTGTCCCTTAGATTGGACTCATTCCATTCCTTCGTTTGGCTGTGCTTTCGTTTGTTCAGCTGATAATTATGATTGAAGTAAACAAAGTTTAATATTTTTGTCCTTTGACCTTTCCAAAGTGTTGTCGTTTGGTGTTTATAAGCAAAACCCACTAGATTTTCTCGAGATTCTTATGACATATTTTTTTTGTGCACCGGCATGTAGATAAAAATTGAAGTTCTAGAATTTATATATATAATTGGATAGGAATTGAACAGTATGTATGTAAATCTTCATCTCTTTTTTAGTCTTCCATGACATTTCCCTTCAACTTTACTATTACTTCTCTATTTACCTCATTATAATATATATTTCTATAAGTTTCAATTTGTTAATTCATAAATCTTCATCTCTTTTTTCATCTTCCATGACATTTTCCTTCAACATTAACTATTGTTTCTCTATTTACCTCAATATATGTATACAAAGAATATGCCGACGCGAATCTTAAGACAAATAGACAACTCAAGAAGAAATGGAAGATCGGTCGCGTAACCTGTTGGCTACAGCTTCTAACGACTGACGAATCAGATGTGGATGGAAGAAATATGAAATGAACAACCAAAAGGGCCTATCAAAGGATTTCGACCCCCAATACGACAGTGGCTTTATTGGAATCGAACATCAGATGATTCAATCCCAAATTGAGTATAGATGAACCAAAAGTATGACAAGCGATTGACAATCTTCTCACCATCTTATTATATTTAAATTTTCTTGTAATTATTGAACTCTTAAAAGGCTAATAATGATAAGGCAAATCTGTAATTTTATAAAATCAAGGTCCATTCATATAAAAATATCGATATCATGAATAAAAGATGTATTCTCTACTATTCTCTATTATACTCTCTTTGTAGTGTGACATTATATATCTTAGATGTGTTTCCCAAACACTTTCAGATTCAAAATTCTTTAAGTTTTGGTCAGTGTGCAAACATGTCATCAATAAAAAAAGGAGCTCAGCAACAATAAGAAGGTTAATTCAATCAGAGTGACATGGTAGAAATATCACGCACTAGGGAGTTCATGGAGGAATTCGTTTAGCAATGCTTAAAAGACTTGAGGATTCAAATCACTAACCAGTTAGGACAATTCACAAAGGTACTCGGAGCAGTGGCTGTCCTATGGGCAATCCCAATTCCCAGAGAAGAACCGACCCAACAAGGGGCACCCAACCCCCCTCAAGGGGAACCGCTGGTGAACGAAATAAGTAGGACAATTCGTCTGTAAGAGAAGCATGACAATGTGTTATACTGAGATGGTGTCAAATTTGCCCCCCTTGGAGGAGAGGAATCGACTAGCGTGGACTGACGTACTGCGAAAGTCGGAGATCTCGCTGCAAGTCTCAGAAGTTGAGACCCCAAAAAAGTTTAAAATGTCCGTCCTAGAGTCATACAAAGGGCGGTCGAACCCCAACAACCACCTCATGTTGTTTGAATCTTCCACATGTATGCTAAAAATCTCTAATGCTCTCAAATGCAAATTGTTTTTTGCAACTCTGAAGTCATATGTGCTAAGTTGGTTCAACAGTTTACCTGATAAGGTGATCGTCAGTTTACCTGATAAGGCGAACACAACTGATAATGACACCATATTTTTTTACGGTGAAAACCCGAAAAAGGAGAAAACACGATGCATTGTCCAATTAAAGAGTTTTACTATAAAAAAACAATTATAGTTGCAAGCACTTATCCTAGCCAAGAAATGGTTACTATGTTTTCCAAGTTATAACATCGAAATGTTGATTAATTTGTTGCTATGAACGGGCAACAACTGATAGCAATTGGTGATGTTCGGTCGGTGGTGATCGACGACATTTGACGGTGATCGATGACGGTCGGTGGTGGTTGACGGAGGTCGGTGGTGGTCGACGACGGTGGACGACGACCGACGACAATCGACGAAAGTTGATGACAATCGGTGACGGTGGTGTTGAACTTCAAGCTCTTCCTCAAATCTCAAACTCTCCTCCCATCTCATAAGAGGGGTAAAAATTTATTTATAGTATTATGAGTGAAATTGATGCTGAAATATGAACAACTTCGATCTAACTGTCTGGAAAGCCGCATTTGATAGACCTTTGAGTGCCTCAAGAAAGTTGAAATTGAGTGAGTTTGGGCTCGTTGGTTTCGTTTTTTTAAGACGCTCGACTCAATTATAAACAGATCAGTTCAACATCAGTTCAACATTTCGGTTGTGTCTAGAAAGTTTTCAAAAGTGATTTAATGACTTGATTGGAGTTTGATTCAGTTCAACCGGATCAATGCTGGTATCATTGGGTCCGTCTCATCGAGCCGATAAATTTGACTTTAATTTTGATGAAATCGGAACACTAGATGACTTTTAATCAATGTTTGAACATTTCTTGCTAAAAAAATTGTTTTCAGATCCGTGTTATGCCTCAAGATTTATGTTGGATGATGTAGACTAATGGTGACGTATCAAGATAAATAAACTAACCTCATTGTTTAACAAATCAAGTAATATATTAAATTAAATTGGACTATAAAAGAGCCAATAGATTTGAATTGGGACATTATTCGACTTTAATTACTTATGTATGCTAGCATGCATAAAAATATTTCTAAGTCTATGTATGCTTTTTTCTAACATTTAAAATATGCATAAAAAAAATCAATCTATAGCTATCGTGTGAACCCATTAAGTAAATTTTTTAGAATACTTAAGTTGTGAAGAAATGCTGTGTCACATTTTGGACCGCGAAATTCAACAATCTCATTGTTCATCTATTCATTTTGTCGTAGTACTTTGGAAGAACCAGTCAAAGCGAGAAAAAAGTCATGAGACTGAAGAAGAGATTATCACGAGGCATTCACAATTATTCATGAATTCATGTATAAATTTGAGGATCAATTTTTTTTAAGGGAGTGGTATGTAATAATCGAACTTTCTTATCCTTCTTTTTGGTAATCATAATCGTCGTCTTTTGGATCACAAGATTCTTGGGATATCTCGCTCTCATAGCTAAATTGACTTTCCAATGTGCATAATCCATTATTTTCATGTGATTTTGCTGTTGCGCCTTCTAAATCATGTTTCTCGTGTCTGGCCCTTACCGACCTTACTCCTGTTTTGAAAAGAAGTCTGGTGCATCACAACTTTCCTTGCATTAGTCACTGATTGTTATGTTGTGGAGTTTAAAACACCCACCCATGACATCCTAAATCCCACAATGACGACAAGAAAGCCCTTGGAGATTTTTCTGGCAAGGACGCATGGTGTATTCTAGCCTATATGGTGCACGCCGAGGTATACAACGCCCCAACACCAGTCCCAAATTCTTTCCTAGCAAGCGACACCATTCTGTCATTTTTTGTGGCGCCCCCACGTTGGCTATTAAAAAAAAAAAATCAAATTGCAACTTAAAAAAACAAAAAAAAACTTGTCTGTCAAACTACCGCCCTCCCGCTCGGTTTCATTTGGCGGTCACCATCGTCAGACCACCACTACTCGACCATCGCCATCAGGCACGACCACCGTTGGACCACCGCTGCTCGATCCACGCCAAACCACCATCATTTCTTCCCAACCACCAACGAATTCACATCCCACCTGTATAAATATTACATTCTACTATTCATTCGAGGGCCGGTAAAAATTTAAATCTATATTAACATAGTGAAAATAGCTTAAACTGATCCAACTCTTGTGATTTTACCACTTTAAATATTTCACAAAATTTTTTTTGATATTTTTTATATATTTATTTTTATTTGTGTGTATTAATACGGTAATATATCATTTGAACGCTGAGAATTTAAGGACACGATGATGCTGAAGAATTTTGCTGTATGCACGTAAATATGAATGTTAAGATTTTAGATATATAAAATTATAAATACATAAAAATTGTGTAGTGTCAATTGTGCATGTAAATGCCCATTCACTTTATTCCGCTGCTCTCCGCCCCCCCTTTCATCCCGTCGGGATTGCCATTCGTGGTTGTCGGAGCGTGGAAAACATTACTTCATTGCGCTGCTCATTCTTTCTAAACTTTCCGATTCCGCCAGTTTCTTACTCTGTAAGCATATTCTCTTACTTGTTTTTGTTCTTCTTTTCTCTATTTGTTCGAGCTTCTTCCGAATTGTTCATTGTCATAATGTTTTTCGTATTTTTTGTGTTTGATTCTGCGATTTCTCACAGATTGGAGAAGCTTTCGCTCCTAAAGGTTAGGCATGCTTGAATGTGAGTCTTATTAGGGCTCGCTAAAGTTAGTTTGCCCCGATGAATTTGGTGTTTGATTTTCCATTTGGATTTGAGATTACTCATCGAGGTGAAGGTGCGCTCGCTGAGACCACCAAGTTGCTTGTCGACACTCCCAAACACTCCCAAATGCAATTGTTAATAAGGATGTAATCGACAGATAGTCTGATCTGGAGGTTTCATTACCCCCCTGAAGTAGTCAATAGGATGCCTAGGGTGTAACCTATGTGTATTCGAACTTTTGGGGAACTCACTAAGGCCATTATCCCTTTAGCCAATTGGAGGAACAAGAACCTGAGGTAGCTCAAATTCATCTAAATCTACATGTCTTTCCTCAACAAACATCCAAAACCTATAGAACCCCTTTACATAATCATCTATGTTTTGCTCTTTTCTTCTGACAAGTTCAACCCATGAATTGCACTTGACACACTGACTATAGGTCAACTCGATTGTTGGTTGACTCAAACCTAGTCCAATGGAGCTTGATTTAAGTAAAATCTCCTAAAATTCGGGCATTCAACTCTTGATGGTTGATCTTATAGTTCATCCCTCTAGTTTATGCCAAGGCATTTAATGAAAAACGTGCAGTCATTAAATCACGACCCACTCTTGTATTGTCACATGAAGGTACATTTGATCCCCGTGATAGGTGTCTCACTCTACAACATCATATTCCAAAGCCCTTGCTGCCATATTGAATGGCGTTCTATTATTTCGATCAATAGGTTGTAGCGACATGCACATTGGCTAGCACATGATGGTGCTGCCGCTGCTTGTTCTTCATTTCTCTATATAACACGACATTCTTTTCCTTGTTGCAAGGATTGTTGGTTGGTTAGAAGAAATAAGGCATGTAGACACCACATGCATAAACCCTTCTTCCTTGTACTCTAGAGATAGGGGAGATATTGCTTATGGTGTATGTGCTTTAAGCGGTGTCCTCATGAGTTACTTCATCCAATCTTAAGGGAGAGCTTACTTACACTGTACATGCCTTATGGAGCCCCCGTGAATTTGTCCTTCAACCATAAGGGAGGGTTTGCTTAACATGTACATGCCTTAAGTTGAGTCTCCATGAGCCTCCATTGATTCTTGATTCACATGTCTAAAACATGCCTCATGAATTCTCCCGCCCCATTGAAAGCAGCCTTGAGCCTACCACTCCAATGCAACAGGAAGCTAGGCTCGCTAAAGTGCAGTGGAGAAAGTAAAGATTGAATCTTTTTTACAACCAATTGTTAAAGCATAATCAATCACCTCCCTGTAAACTTAGGCAGTGCTATAATGGAAGTGTAATATTCAGGAACTCTATTTATGTGAAAAATAAAAAAGAATAAATTGTATAATAAAATCTCTTCAAAATCCTTACCAATGGCGTGAAAATTCCCTTTCTTTTTTTCTTGCTAACAATTAAACTGCTTCTTAATGCCACCCTCATGTTCGATCATATCTCAAGCATTGATACCTTAAACACTCCAAACAGGACTGCATCAGATATATTTTGTGAAAAAGCAATCAAAACTAAACCTCTAAATCTGTAATAGAACAAATGGACTGAAGCCAACTAAAATCAAATGTGAAATTTTAAATTATTAAGAAATAAAGCTTGTTGAAATGAAGTGAATCAAAAGAAATAAAGCATGCTTATTTTTGCCAATGTTGTTGATTTGATTTTGTCCACGAATTATGCCAAAGTCTTACTAACACGGGAAAACAAAAGGTGAAAATAGATGAAAACAGAGAAGGAGAAAGTAAAATCTACTATGATCACCCAATTGCTGCAATACAGTCCCATTTTGAGTCACTAAGGTACCCATTGAGATGAAAGTGCATTGTCTAAAACCACCAATGTTTTCACCATGACACTCAGATACTATTGAAGGCAGAAAAAACACACCATGTACTCGCCAAGGCATATATTGTACTTGCCAGGACAACCATTGAGCATCTTGAATACTTGTCCAAGCCACTCCATTAGTTTACAGATTTGGGATCTGTAGCAATTTCATGACCATGATGCTTGTCAAGATGCTAATTTATTTATCCATATGTTTACTTGGCACTTTGCTCTTACACTTGACTTTTTATCAGTGCACTCGCTATTGCTCGCAGAGCTGTCCATAGCACCCACTAAGATGCCAATGGACTTTTACTAAAATAATTTGATGCTTGTCAAGATGTTTATGTCCTAATTTCAATAAAACACCAAAATACTGAATAGTTCAGGCCAAGTTAAACCAATGCAAACCATGTAAAGTCAAGCCAAGCTGAATAGATCCATCCAGGCTTTTCTTTTGATTGGGGTTGTTGGTTTGGATTTATTATAGAGCCAACGTGCAAATCTTTGAGCTTTAAAGCGATCTTAAACCTCATTGCTATAAATATTTAACTAAATGAAGCCGATCAGATCCTCTGGGCTTCACTGTGATCAAATTGTAAGTCCGGACTCTGCTACACTGATATGCCAACCCTCAAATTGAGCCCCAAAATTCATGTTAGAAGTATCAAAAAATTTGAGACAATTAAATTGTACTGTTTCCTGAGTGCTGAGGCTGTGTCTTGATTCTTAAAAATAAATCAAGAAAACATAACTCACAACTTTAGGCCACCTTATCCAAATGATATTGTCATAAGATCCATTTTTGGGCCTCTATAATATTATAGAAGTAAATCTTATATGCGAGCAAACTTCAAAATGAATCTAGTAAGCCCTAGCTCTCAGGCATCCCCTTCACAACACCAAATCCTAAGTTCAAATTAAATTTAAATCTCCAAAATTAAGTCCTTATATTGTCTCTACCGAGTTCCCGCATAAGTTAATAAATGTGCTCAAAGTAACCAAAATTAAAAGATTAAACTGCTCATGTTGTCTCCCCAAAATTAAGAAATAAATCCAATAAAGCTATCAAATTATCTCTAACTTTGGTGCTTAGGCTTTTCTTTACAGTTGATTGCACTCCAACTTGGACCTCAGTCTAACTCATCTCTCTTTATCTTAGTCACCTTGTGGATATGCCAAATGTCTTCTAGAAGCAGATGCTAATCTCAATGGCTTCCTTTGAGAACCAACTTGAGTTAGTTTTTGGATATGGACTTCAACTTTAAAGATTCTCCCATAGCACTTGAATTCTGTCCACCCGTATTTGAAGATACTCTTCTCTTCCAAGAAAGTTCAGCTATCCAGGAATTGCTCATATGTCATTGAATTGACTCTACATTAAGTGTCCTTTTTGGTTGGCTATGCTTTTTGTAAAGATAGTTATAAAGCTATGTGGGGAAAATAATGCCTTTGAATGTTGCTGCTATTAGAAATATGTATATCTTTTGTGAAAATGTTACACAACAATTTTCTTAAAGCTACTACACTTTAGCAATTTGGTTCTCAAAAGCAGCTTCCCAACATAAGAATTTTCTGAAAGCACCAAGAAAAGCAATGCAGTGAAAATACTGCCCTAACCGGATCCAAAGTTTATGATCCAATTTTATTACAAATCTATTAAGTTTGGTGGCTCAACACCAGAAGTCCTATAAAACATCTCTAAACCTCTAAAAATTATAGTGATCTCCTTGAATTGATTCTACTTAGGCCTTGACCCCTACTTCTGACCAAAGATTGTGAGTACCACATCAACCTATTTGAGATATCTGATAGGAGGCAACCTATGGTTGCTAATCAGGCTCCTGTATAATGTGTCATTTTGATTCTCCGTTAATAGATTGGATCCAACATATTGAACTGAGTGAAGGAATCATGGATCTGATCTGGTTGATCACCCATTTTCAATCATGCTCGAAACCAAAAATAAAATCCAATTGATCCCTCATTGTAAGGCGCAATGTTATCTTTAATAGAGAGTGTTCTTGAGCATTGGGCCCGAGATGTAATTAATCATTGGGGAAACCTCAATCCGCCCGATGTAATATAAATCATGTATAGTTCAAATTGCTATCTAGGGGAAATTTATAGTACAATTAGGGCTGTAAACAAGCCGAGCTTGAGCGAGCTCAAGCTGGGCTCGTGTTCGGCTCGTGTTCGAAATCGGCTCGTGTTCGAAATCGGCTCGTGAACAGTGTGTTTTTGTTTGGCTCGATTTAAAAATTTGTGTTCGTGTTCGGCTCGAAATTGGCTCGTTAAACTTAAATTGAGAAAAATAGTTGTAAAATGTGAGATTCGAACCTGGATCAAATATATACAGAAGAAGGCACTAACCACATTGTCACATGAGTTGTTATGATTTAAACTTATACATAAATATATATAATATATTATTATATAAATAATATATATATGTAATATATTGTTATATAAATAGTTATATAATTTTTTTTATTTCGAGCTAAAACGAGCCGAACACGAGCGAACAAAGAGCTGTTCGTGTTCGACTCGTTTATAATTCGAGCTTTAAAAGTTTGTTCGTGTTCGGCTCGTATGTTAAATGAACGAGCCGAACACGAGCTACTTAACGAGCCGAACAGGAGCTGTTCGCGAACAACAAGCTTTTTTGACAGCCCTAAGTACAATTACATAGTTTTACTTCAAATTCTTCGCCACTTGTGCTTTCTTAAGCTCAGAAGAGCGAGAAGAAAACGGACCACAGCACAAGAGCATGAGTGCTTTTGAAACTTTCAGTGAACTTAATTAGTATTTTTCTCATGCATTTAAATTATAATTTATAATTTGGTCATTCGCAATTTCAATTTAATCTCTGTTTCTGGGTCTGAACCATATTGATTTGTAAAATCATTGATCGCTCATATAGCAATTCATTCACTTTTCTGAATCTTGAAAATTTTCTTTTTGGAATCTCTTGAACTCAACCCCTTTGTATCTGTTTCCAGATCCAAACCGTTTCAGTTTTCTGTTTTACTTCGTTTTAGTTGTGCGTTCCCAGCAGATGAAGTAATGACAGAGCACATTAGAGAAAGCCCCTGGAAAATTCTTGAATTCTACAGTGGCATCGGTGGTATGGTAAGCATGAACCTGATTGTAACGGTCCTCTATCCTCCAATTTATTCCATATTTGAAATTGGCTTGGTTTCATCTTTTATAGTAAAACTTTTTTTTGGTCTGTTATTCCATTGTAGAGGTACTCTCTAATGAGGGCTGAGATTCATGGGAAGGTAGTAGAGGCGTTCGACGTCAATGATCTAGCCAACGATGTGTACATGCACAACTTTGGACATCGGCCCTTCCAGGTTTCAATACCTTGGGTTATCTAGTTTTCAATATTCCCTCGCTATTATAATGTTTCTTTTGTTGTTTTATTTTATTGGTTATTGGAAAATCTAGCATTACTTGCTCTGCACAATGCTAAATAGACCAGTTTTATTTAGTCCAGAACTGAAGTATATCAGCATATTAATAACCTCCATTATTTAAAAGAACATTGTCGTGTGATGGATACATATGACTGTCTGTTTTTATAATTTCAGCATTTTAATTTGTTACCATTTAATTTCTTAACCGATTGCGTGATATAAATATCTGGTTTATATTGCTTGAAAAAGTTTATGCTCACTTTTCCATTTTATGACGCCACAGGGAAACATTCAAAGCCTCTCTGCAGCTGAACTAGACAAGTATGCTGCACATGCATGGCTGCTTTCTCCCCCATGTCAACCTTACACTCGACAAGGTTTGAAGTAACTAATTTATGCTGCATCACGTCAGTTTTAACTTTCTTAATCTATTTTATGCTAATTTTTATAATCTCTAGGTCTTCAGAAAGATTCAGCTGATGCCCGGGCATCCTCTTTTATAAGGATTATCGAGCTTATTCCACAAATGCGGCAACCTCCGATCATGTTATTTGTAGAAAATGTTGTAGGGTTTGAGGTTTGTATTTATCTAACTTTTTGTGTTAAATTTATTCATCAGTTTTATTCAACATAAAATATCTACTCCTGACGTTATTTCTTTTGATACATTTCAGATATCTAATACACATAAGCACATGATGGACATTTTTGCAAAGACTTGTTTTGTAACACAAGAATATATTCTAAGCCCGTTGCAATTTAGAATTCCATATTCCAGGCCTCGTTATTTCTGCCTGGTAGGCTGACTTCTGTTGCTGTACGCACTACATAACATAATTTAACAACAGTTTGCTAGTAGAAATCACTAGTCTAATGGCTAGTTATACATGCTAGTCAGTCTTATGTTTGCATTAATTAGTGTATTAATGGAGGTTCATGATAATCACCGTTGAGTTGTCGATGCAATCTTAAATGACTTGAAAGACGGATTTCATTTTAGTAGTTTGGGTTTTTATTTTAATAGGACTTCCTTGTATATCCTTTTCAATGACACATGTTTGTTGACTTGTTCCCTGTTATGAAAATTATTATTCTCCTACTTGATGGTGGTTTGTAGCTCCTTTGGAAGCTTTTAACTGAATTTTTTACTGAGTTTATATCCATTATGACTGCTTGCAGCTGGTTAGTCCATTGAATTGATAATTTTGAGCTCTTTTGCCTTCCCAGGGTGATTCTATCTTGATGTTGGTAGCCGATTTCCTTGACATGTCTTTGGAGTTTTAGAGAGTTTTGTAGTTGGTTTCGGTTGACGGGCTTTGGCAGTTTGCAAGCACCCCAGGTTTTTGGTGATTCGTTATTGTACATATCATAACTAATAGTTTTTGCCGCCTTCAAATTCTTTGGACGTGGAGTCTTGGATTCATGATCTTGTGTTCATATCTAGGAAACAATACGGGCACGTGATTTCCATGGTTAATGAATTGGTTTCTCACGGTTTTTTCTAGTTTTAAGGGTTTGTATCTTGTATCTCTGTTCTTTCAGATGGATTTAAGTTTTTGGGATAGAGTTTCTATGATCTGAGGATATCAATGCATGTAATGGGGGAGTAATTGATTAATAAATTTTGAATTTCGATTTCAATTGTGTTCCTCTTGGATGTTTTATGTTATTGAATGTAATGCAAACGTGACTACCTATTTTTCGAAAGGTCATCTTCTTGTACTGACCTGAGGTCTAGATTTTCTTCATTTTAGTGATGTAGGACGCTTATTTGTCCTGTGCTCGCTGATGCAACCTAAGATAAGATGCATAAAATGAGAAAAAATTCAATGGATTCTAATTAATTGTATGTGCTTGGCAATCATTATATCAACCTAGTTGCATTGGGAACCTAAACCCTTGGGTAAAACTTAAATACTTTTCTGTTGATATGCCTTTTTGTCGTGATATCTAAAGAGTTTGCATTAATAATTTTCAATGGAAACTATTGTGCGGGTGACTTATTGTATTTGCAGTGCAAAAACCAGCGACCTTGTTTTTGTTCCTCTTAAGGACCTATATTTTTGTTGTAAATTTGAAAAACCATTGCGCTAACTTGCTCTTTCTTCCTAGGCAAAAAGAAAGCCATTATGCTTTAAGAATCCATCTTTTAATTATCAATTATGCCATGCACTCGCTCCACATGTACCATCCGAGGACGAAACACTGATGGATGGATGCCTGCCTGAGAAGGTAAAAGAACAATGTTACTTATCATGCCTACCCGTAAAGAATTTTCTGGAAACATCTGTGTCTTTAATGGGATCGGAGCGGGACTTTTCTGACAAAGAGCCTGGAGACTTATCGGAAAAATTTGCTGTTCCCCACAGTTTGATAGAGAGGTGGGGGAGTGCCATGGGTATCCTTACATTTGGATTCTAATGCTATGCGTTTGCACTGATGATTGTACATAACTTATTTTCTATTTGGGGTATTATATACCTACCTCCCAATTCCTATGTATTTACATATCTTAAACCTGAGTTTCACTGTTTATTTTTATACCACCCAAATCTTTCACGTCACATAAAAAATACCACTATTTTAACTTTTTAAATTTGAAATTCACCTTTTCATGCATAGGTAAGATGGCATGAATGTAAAATTTGAAGTTTACATGTTTGATATGTAGATATACATAGCAATTGGTTGGCATCTGTGTAAATATTCCTTTCTATTTTGAATTGGATTGAAAGTTCCTCAAACTTCACAGATATTGTGTACCCGAGTTCCAAGCGCTGTTGTTGTTTTACCAAAAGTTATTTTCGTTATGTGAAGGGCACTGGATCATTACTTGCTACTTCTGAAGTAGGAGTCCTGCTCTTCTGTGCCAACTCTTTCGTTTAATATTAATTATGATTTGATTGTCTCCTAACAAATATGCAAAATTTACCTTTTTGGAAAACGGTAGAATTCCAATCATGAAGTGGCAAAGAATACTGGAACTTGCTTTATGAAATATTTGGGACTTCGGTATTTCACTCCACGTGAGGTAAGTTAGTTCATTGTTACTATAATGAAAATTGTAATTTAACTAAAAGGTCTAGTTGAAATGCTCTTCTTATCATGCAGGTGGCCAATTTGCATTCTTTTCCATTCAATTTCAGTTTCCCAGAGCACGTAACCATTAGACAGCAGTAAGTTACTTTAATTGTTCTGTAATGTTACATAAAAATATTTGGACTCTTTCAAGTATTTTTATCATTAGGATCAAGTGCAAATGACACTTTATAATTCAAAATTTACAATAACTTATTTATAGATCCCTTTGGTTAGCTAATATCTACTTCTTGGACAAATTTTTAGAAGAAATGTGTACACTAATTGTTTTTGCATTAGGAATCAGCCAAGAAAAAAAAAAATCTGGTACTAAAATGCACTTGGTGGGTTTGTTTTATTTTAGAAAAAATATATTTTTAAAATAAAACGCCCTTGTTAGGTGCATTTTAATTAATTTTTTTAAAATTAAAACGTCAATTAAGATTGTTTCATAATAATTAATTTTTAATTTAAAAATTGAATTTGTAAATATACAACAACAACAACAAGCCTTTATCCCACTAAGTGGGGTCAGTTACATGAATTCTTTTTATCCATTGTGTCCTATTGATTGTCATATTTTCATTTAATTCTAATATATTAAGACCATTTTTAATACAATATGCCCAAGTCTTTTTAGGTTCACCTCTGCCTTTCTTATTATAAGTCAAATCTAAAACATCTACTCTCCGAACTGGATCATCAGATGGTTGACGTTTGTTGTGACCAACCATCTAAGATGACTCTAGTCTTGTTTGCTATTGGAGCTTCACCAACCCTATCACGGATATATTCATTTCACATTTTGTCTCTAAGTGTTAAGCCACTCATCAACCTAAGCACTCTCATCTCAACAACACTTAGCTTTGTTTTTATGCTTCTCTTTTAAAGGTCAACATTCAGCCCCATAGAGCATTACAGGTCTCACCAACATCTTATAAAATGAATCTGTAAATACAAGTAAACTAACAAAAAAGGTATAATAAATTGTGTATGTATGAATGAAATTAAGGGTGCGTTTGGGGGAGCTTATTTGCGCGGTTAGTGATTTCAAAACGTCGAACAAAGTTTTGGTTCGCACGTTGGATCGGCGTCCCCGCGACCTACGTCTTGAATCAGCGTCGAGTGGATTTTTACTCCCGTGCCCTTCTTCTATCTTCTCCTCCGATCTCTCTTGCCTCGATTGATCGCTCTTGCCGCGCAGGAAGGGATGCGCAAGAAGGGATGATGCAGGAGAGAAGAGAGGAGGGATTGGGTGAGAAGAGAACATGGTGGAGGATGTGGGGACCGACAAGATGGATGGGGAGGGAGGCGACGCGAAAGATGGGGAGGGTTGCGTGGGAGAAGAAGCGGAGGACAACGGCCTTGTCTGCGCGGTGGAGGGCGGGAACGATAGCTGAACTACGATGATGGCTTTAGGCGGGGAGGATATTGGCGGCGCCGTGGGGAGGAGGACGATTTTGAAGAAAAAGGAGGAGAGGGGCGGGATGAACGTTCCGACGGCCGAAATTTTAGCCCCACCTGCGGTTGGATCACGGAGGAGCGGCAGAATTCAAAACGGACGAGGATTCTAGAGGATGATGGGGTTGCTGAATGCTTAATAGGATTTTTTAATATATATTGCTGAATGCTTTTAATTGAACATTTATTAATATATATTTATGCTAGTTATTTGTGGGTTGAAGTGGTGGGTAACTTTTTCAGAAATACCTGTGTTCTGTCTTATCTATTTCTGTGCTCATATAGTTCTGTTGCAAATAATTTCACTAAACATGGGTAAAATGATCATTTATCCAACAACAACTGCCAATAAGCTGTTCTGCATAAGCTCCCCCAAACAACAAACCAACTTATCCTTATAATCTGCATATTATCAGATTGTCAGGATAATCTACTTATCATCAGCTGCCCCAAACAAACCCTAAATTGTGTATGGTTAGATTGGTTAGATTTATGAGTATAAACAAGATGAGTAAATTTCGAGTCACCCTCAACTTGAGTTGAAATTTGATTAATTAATCCAGATTGAGGTCAAATTCTAGCTTATTTCTTTGAGTTAGATCCGGCTCACAAGCCTAGAAGGTCATGCTTGAACTTAATAAAATGATAAATACAATTGTCAATTAGGGATTAAAAAATAAGAGTCAAAGTGATATTTATGAAAATTTTTTTCGAGTGCTTTCTATTAAAATTAAAAACTCACAATTTTTTTAAAACAGTGTAACAAGATTTTAGAGTTGATAAAATGTTTTTTTTTTATTTTGAATAAAAAGTGGATGCAAAATTTATTTATTCTTACGAACACAAAATATAATTGAAAGTACATAATAACAAAAAATATATTACTATTATGCAACTTTGTTATTCTATTTCCTCCAATAACTCATATAGATCAAATTATAATTTAGTTTGCAAGGGGTAATAGGAGTTATAGTACTCAAAGCAACATCGTATATCTTGCCAATTAGTTCCAGATTAGAATTTTTTCTTCTTTTCTTTTAGAATTGATAAGTTCATGAACTTATCATATAAATTCAACATAAATTCATCTTCTGTAGTACTCCATTATCGATATAACTTTATATATGAACATAATTTGTTATAGAGCTTGTCATTTTTAGAAATTGTTGAGTTGGATTGTAAAATCTCATGATACTTCATCTGTATGAAATGAAGTTCGATTGAACGTTAATCAATCTCCTTAAATCTATTTTGGACGAACTTCCATCCAATCCCATTAAGAAATTTATCTCTAGGATCATGATATATTTTTATGATTTCATCATGTAATTTGAATAATAATTTGTTACGATCCTTCGTCCAAACATGGATATAATATATTATATATATATATATATATATATAACACACACACACACACACACACATATATATATATATAACACACACACACACACACACACATATATATATATATAACACACACACATATGCTTCATTTGAATTATTTGTATTTCTAAAAAATTATGGGATGATCCTTCATTTGTTTTTCTATAATGAGTGGTTGTTAGCATCAACAAAGAAATATAACAGCGTTTATCATTTTTGTCAGGCTTCATATTGACCTAAAGATCAGTTAATTACACTATATAAAATATAGAAGTATTAATTTAAAAAAAATATTAGTTTGTTGAGTAACATGATTAATAATACGAATTGAAAAAAATAATATTAAAAAAAAATATTTCACTATTTAATTGGTATAATTAGCTGATATTCATGTTAGCATGAAGCCTAGCAAGAATGTTGAAGACTTTTTTTTTTTTTGCTGATGCTAACAAACGCTCGTTATAGAAAAAACTATTAAAAAATTATCTTATAATTCTTTAGAAATGTAAGTGATGTTAAACGGAGCATATCATTGTTATATGCATATTTGGACGAGAGATCGTGATAAATTATTATTCAAATTACATGATGAAACTATAAAAAAATATTATGATCATGGAGAAAACTTTTTTAGTAGTACTGGATGTAAGTTTGTCTTAAACAAATTTGAAGAGATTGATCATCATTCAGTTGAACTTCATTTCAGACAAATGAGCTATCATGAGATTTTACGGTCCAACATATTAGTTTATGAAATTGACACGCACTCGACGAATTGCATACAGACATGAAATTGTATCGACAATGGAGTGTCACAAAATGTGAATTTATAGGATGAGTTCATGAACATATCATTTCTAAAAAGAGAAAAAAATCTTATTTGGAGCAGATTGACTAGAGATACAATATCGATTTGAGTCCTACATGCCATCCTACCCCACACAAACTCGATTGCAATCTCTTCTTACACAAACTCATATTGGGGAAAAGAAATAACAGTTGCATAATGGTAATATATTTTTTGTTATCATGTATTTGTTGAGTTTTGGAGCTCGGTTCGACTGCTCCCGCTCCCCCGATCGCGAAATGTCGCGACCGCTCCCGCCTCTCTTGTTCGCGAACCGCTCCGGCCAACTCCCGCCGACGTTCGCGAATCATCGCGCCTCCCTTCCTGTTAGCGCACAACTCTTTCAGTTTCTAAGCATGGTTATTTTGTGTTCTTCTTCAGACTTCCATGAGATAGAGGAAGAGAAGTGTAAACAGTAGTTCCTTGTAGCAGAAGGAAGAAAAAAGAAGAAGAAGAAGATTGTTCTCCTTTGGCTTCTTCTTGGTGGTTTGTGGCAGAAGAAAAATTGAGTTTATTTCTCTTGTAAGTTTATCTTTTTCGGTGTATCTTGATGTAGAGAGAGAAGAAGAGAGATCAAGGAAGTGAGAAATTCCTCTTGTAAGTCGAGACGATTGACTGATTTAAATTTTTCAAGTAGTAAAATCCTCTGCAACTCCGTGGACGTAGGTAATTTACCGAATCACGTAAATCTGTGTTCCTCTGTGTTATTATTTTCTGGTGTGAATTTTTTCGTTCTATTTTTCGCTTCATCGTCGAAGATAGTTCTTCTATTTTATATATATACCATTCTCAATCATATACTTTCTTTGTAAAAATAAATATATTTTATATCTACGTTACATTGAAAATAAATATAATATTTCATAAACTCTAAAATATTTTTCATGTTGTTTTAAAAAAATTCTGCGATTTTTTTACTTCAATATAAAATACTTGGAAAAAAAAAACTTTTTAATGCTTGAAAAACATTTTAATAAATATCACTTTATCACTTCATATTTTTTTCATCTCTTAATTGATATTTATATATATATCATTTTACTAATCCCAAGCATGACCTAATAGGATTGCGAGCTTACTCAAACTCACAGAATTAAGCACGTATTTAAACTCTATCTCGATTAATTAATCAAATTTAAGGTGCAGCTGGGAGTGGCTCGAATTTGATGATCTGTACTTTTTTAAGTCGCTATTTGAGGAATTTTTCCTGGTATTGCAAATGATAAACTGTTATTGTCAGAAAATAAGCGTTTCTTACCCATTTAAGCATGTGTTGCAATTAATTTTGTTAATTTTGTTTGCTAATCCTTGTAAGTACTAATTTCCTGGACCATTGAAATTGTCATCATGCTTTTCAGGTACGCCCTACTGGGGAACAGTCTCAGTATTGCAGTGGTGGCTCCCTTGCTCCGTCATCTGTTCGCCGAACCTGCTTAACTTCTATGTATTTACATATCTGCTCAACATAGTGCTCTTCGGATCCATTTGCGTTTGGTCGCCCGACATAAACCGCTGCTCAGATTGGTATGACACTTTTGTTGAAAATAATGAGATGATGAATAATGTATCACCAATCATTTTTAGTCATTTTAATGCGGATTTTGAACCAAGACCCTTCTAAGGATTGAAATGGCACATAAATAAAATCATCAAAATATATACTTTTTGATGGTCTGATAAGGGAGAAAACATTGCATCAGGGAATACATCAGGATTCCGATTATTATCTGTCACGTGTACAGTTTAGCCCTCTTAGTAAAACAAAATTAAATAATTTAATACCTGGTGGGCCTGAACTGTCCCGTCGCAGTGAGTGATTGATGTCCTATATATATATATATATTTTCAGATGAGGAGCATAGGTTTAGTTTAGTAGGGATAGATTCTAGATGTGTCACTCAACAAACTATATTCTTAAAAGGTTGGTGGAATCATAGCTACAGACAAGCAAACTAATCATTCAAAAATATTCCAGATGAAATGGTTGATCAAACTAATCATATCTCATAACTAATATTACATCAATTTACTATGGTGGTTGGTAAAGCAATTGGTGAATTAATTTTATTTAATATACTCCTGCCAGTTATACAAAATCCAGGGACATGGTTATAAACAATAATTTGTAGAGAAGTGCTCGAATATATAAGATATTAGAATTTTATTAACTCAAATAATTTGATAGAAAAACTGCAACTCATTAACTGAAATAAATAGAAAAAAAACATTTAAATCTTTCTAATGTGTTATAATGTTTTATCTTATCTTAATAATTTAAAAGTTTATAATAATGCAATATTATCATTTTCTGAAATTTTAAAATTAATTATTGACTATATTTGTATTAATTAAAAGTTAAAATTTGACTTTTTATTACAGTGCACAAATTTAAAAAAAATAAAAAACTCATTGAAATCTACTCACTAGAAAAATTTATACCATTTTCTAATAATAATAAAATAGCTTTTCTCATATTACCCATGAAATTGCCAAAATTTTAAAAAAATAGGATAAAGCATGTTGCCCATTGGAAGGTGATGGTGTAGTCCTCTTTCAAATTTAAAAAAATAATCGATTTTCAGTTTTTTTTTTCTTAGAAAAAACGAATCAATTTGAAAAATTACATCTTTACGCAGCCTAGTTGAGTAGGGAGTTGGGAGCTCTATTAAATTTGCTTAAAAATCTCAATTAACGATATTTAGTTATTTACTAACAATATAATCGAGTGTTCCTGGTCCCAACGTTCAGCTCATAGCCAAGTTGCGGTTAACTCGGTCGGTACTCTCTCTCTCTCTCTCTCTCTCTCGCACTCGCCGCACTCCCTTGCAGCGCTTACTGGGCATCAATGGGTTCCAGTGCCGATCACATGGCCGTCGACGAAACTCCTCCTCCGCAACCTTCGGAGAATCTTGCTTGTTCTCCTCCTCCTCTTCCGCCCCCGTCTTCCCCTTCCGTCTCCATCGAGTGTTCCGGATCTCAAGCGGAAGGGTTTGTTATGAAGTCGATAACTGCTTCCAAAGAAGATCGAGTAAAGGGACCATGGTCGCCGGAGGAAGACGCCATTCTTAGCCGGCTTGTTGCTAAGTTTGGGCCCAGAAATTGGAGCCTTATCGCGAGAGGTGTTCCTGGGCGTTCCGGAAAATCTTGCCGGCTTCGGTGGTGTAATCAACTCGATCCTCATGTGAAAAGGAAACCCTTCACCGGTGATCCTTTTTGTTATTACTGTTGTTAATATTATTGTTTTTTTACTTCTCACGCTTCTTGATGCTGCGTAACTCATTGTGTGTTTCCATGTGCTTTTTGGTTATTAGCTCCATGCGATTTTGGTCTGCAGATTTTTGAATTTTCGCGTTTTATGTTTTAAGTGAATGTAGATGATCTGAATAACTTAACAAGGAATCGACGAATACTGAACAATTTAGGGTAGTCCAATAACTTGGAAATGTTGGTATGATGATTTTTTTTAGGGTCGAATGGTAGCCTTTTTTTCAGTTATGTAACTTATGATGGTTTTGCATTGTAACTGTTGATAAGAAATTGGATTCATATTGATATTTATCTTAGTTGAAGATTTGTGTTTGGTATGTTTTAAAACTCTATATGTATGCGGCATGGTTATTGGTGATGTTATTTTTCTTCTCGGGTAGGGGTAGCACTTGAACCTGACACCTTGGGATTCTTTGCTTTATTTCCAACCTATATGTTACAAGTTCTAGCATCATCATTGAGATGTTACTTTTTTATAATAACTTTTTAGCTTCCATTTTTCATACACAAGTATGGTCATTATTAAAATTTTTAGAAAAATTATGGTATACGTTTGTACTTTCATTATAATTAATTGTAGAGTGACCAAGTCTTTAAGGGCGAACATAACTTCTGTCCTTGGTATTGGTTATGAATAACTCATAATATGTGCCGAATATCAACTATTTTTATGCATTTTTTTTTAGTATATTTTTAATTAATTGAACAATTTTGAACTCCATAAAATTATAATAGGGAAAAAAGTTAAAAGTTTTATACAATAAAGGAAGGATAGAGTAACTTTTTTCTTTTTTTTTTCTTTAAGTCAGTAGTCATTGAAGATCAAGTAGATACCATAGGATTCAATACCACATATTAATTATTTAAAAAAAAGTGGATGTATAAGCATTACTTCCTAAGTAAGATTGTGGCTCAAAATAGTGAGCTACCGCAAGAATACTGTAGGCGCATGATTTTGGAGGGTTTAGGTTTGGGATGGAAGTAAATGATACATTAAATGCGAATTATAGTCGATGATACCTCAAAAAATTCATCAGATACTGTTGGTATATTGTTATAAGAATTCTCCAATAGAAGTGTAATTGCAATTTTATTTAAAATTTATTGCTTGAATATTATTAGGGTATCAGTCTTGTCAACTTTTGTCTTTGTAAAGAGATGATCAGCTAGCTTAGTAGAGCCTAATTTTGTTAACTCTATTCTCAATGAGGAATATCAAATTGGTCAAGATGGGATTTACGACCCTATTTTACAGACAAAGAAACCCGCTGAAAGCATTCATCTTTCAATGATTTTAAATCCAATTTTTGAAAAGAGAGTTTTTTTTTGAGCCACAAAAGTGCACTGTGTAGCATCTTAAATGAAACTACCTAACTCTGTCATTTGAGGAATCAAATCCACTATGTTTTATTTGAGGGCATTATCTTCTCACCATTACATTAAAGGTTTTGCTCCAACTAGTTTGAATTGTTTCACTTTAGTAAAATTTGGATGTTTAATTGACTTTCTCTAAGATGTTTAAAGGGCTGGGTCTCCTCTAGGAGAAAATTTCTAAAAAATTTCAATCTCTCTAACACAAGGGTTTGGCTAATGTAGTTTTTCGCTCCTAACACCATAATTTGATTGAAATCAAACAAAGCTCTCTAAGTAAGGATCAAAGGCAATTCCCTAGCCTCTAGGACAATACAGTCTATTTTCCCATAGCTCAACATGCTACATGAAGAGAAGCAAATGAAGAACCATGCAATAATGGACAAGGACATGAAAATTTTAAAAATATTTTTGTCTAAAAATTGAACAAAATAGTAATTTATTAATAATGATTAAAGGTGTATGCAACTAGGATGGCTAAGTATTGTGGTTAAGTTACTGCTTTTTCGTTACATCCAAAAAGGTGAGCAATACGTTGGGAAAAGAAATATGAAGTGTTCGCACTTTCAGGGTCATTGAAGACCTCCTTTGCTCGCCTACTCTTTGCATTGTCCTTAAAAGCTGGGGAAGAGTCCTGGGATGTTTAGCTCAAGAAAAGTCACTTGCATTGGCCTTAGCCTTGCAATGCATTAGAGCATTGGGCAAATCAAACGTTTTATGAAGCATTGCCAGGGCATCACTATTGATACTGAACAAGTCACCAACTATTGCGCCATGTTGCTCATCTTCTATAAGTTTTTGGGGGGAGAGCATGATGTCATTAAGGGGAGTGTCCACTAAAAAATTCATCCAACTTTAGCGCACATGCCTATCATAAAAATTTCTTAAATTCCTTAATAAAGGAAAGGACAAAATCGATAAGTCACATTTTGGAATATTTTTATACATAAATTGCAATATTTTAGCATAAAAATCATGGAATGAGCTCATTATGTACACAATATAAATAAAAATTTAAAATTTTTAATAGTATGATTTAGTTGTAGAAATTTGTCGAATGCAAAGGCATCATGATTTCAACATAAAAATTTTTGAAAGAATTATATTTTCTTAAATAAAAAAAAATCTAACTAGTAAATCATTAAAAAAGGAACTTACGATGAAAAAATGTATGGTCAAAATATCAAAAACACATTGGATCATTAAAAATTGATCAAACTTCACATCACCCGGTTTATGTTGAGCCATCACATCAACCTCCATCTTTCTATCATTGGATGTTGAGTTTGGGGATGATTGACATATTTTAAGTAGAAGATTAGAACTCAACCTTAATCTTTGGGCAAAAAATGCAAGGACTATCGACCTTCCTTTTGAAGGAAAACTAGTAAATCAAAACAAGAACAATGAGGCTCGATTGTCACTCATAATTATGCCTATTGTACATTATTCTTTTGTTTCTTTACAGAGGAAAATCAAAGCCTTGAGGGAAAATGAATATCCTCATATCCTCAAAGTGAATTTTATAGGATTTAGAATAGAAGATGATACAGATATTCACTATTTTTAAGGGTTGCAAATAAATTATTTACTTTTTATATAATTTTAAAAGGAAAAAAATATATTTTTTTAAGTTCAAGAAAAATCGCTCATACTGTTGTCTACCATCACAATAGGTCATTAGGAGAAGCTCTGAAAATAACAAGTTGGTCTCATAGTCCTATACAACACACAGTATTTTATAACTAAATAGGTGGGGACAAGACTGCGAGCTCAACTATATAGTTGAGCATTATATTTGCAAGGCTTCTTTTTTTTGAGTGGAAAATAGCTTCGAGGCACTTGTAATCATTGATGTCAAATGCCTAAAATGCCAGTGATTGATTACTAGATAAATAACATGACAGAGAATGCAACGACATGCAAATCAGGGGAAAGCCACTCAACTAAAACAGGAAGGTCAAAACACCTAAAAAATGCTAGCTAACGAGAAAATTCTAGGGAGAATAAGTGGAGGCCATAACATATATATGAATCTTATGGGATAATGTAACATCATCATCCATTCCTTCATTGGAAGGATAGACTCAACAACAAGATCATTGGAAAGATAGACTCAACAACAAGAACACTAAGACCATCTAAAGTGTCTTAAACCTAATTTTTCTTTAATTAGAAGTGTCTGAAGCATCATTCAGTAAGGGGGTCAAATACCAATAGTTCAAGGTTAATGAGTCTCTTTGGATGCTTTTACAGGCTGAATATTTGAAGAGTTTTATGTGGGGCTACCTTGTTTGCTGGCTATATAGGGTAAAATTTGATTATTTATTTTTATGTTTGGATGCATAATTGTTGCCTTTCTCATAATATGTTACATCCATGGCATACAACTATAGGCTGTCTAAGAGAAGGTGTGCTATGCACATGGGTATAATATCACACTATATGTTATCTTCATAACTTCACATCTAAATTGGCATTAAACATTTAGTGGTGACAGGAGGGCGGGTCATGTTGATTCAATTTACGTGAAATGGAGTTGGGTGTAGTTTGTTTTTTATATTAGTCCTACTTATGGCTTGTGTAGAAAGAACACCTACAATATTGCTATTATCTATGATTAGTCTACATTTTTTATCATTGCAGGTTGCATAAAATTAAAAGATGTTTGTCATTCTCCAATCTTTTGAATCGGAACTAGTAACATTCGCACTTCTAATGATGGCTAAGGGGACATTATTAAATTGTGATGCTTAATGTCATAAGTTCTCTAAATCATATTCAACATTAAAATTGTCAGTAATCTAGGAACATGATTTGGGCCTTTCCTTGATTTTGAATGTGCTCTCTTTTATGATTTTTAAATCAAACTGCATTCCTATTGGATGTCTCAGTAGGATTCCTAGGAGCTGTTCTAGACCTAGAATTCAGAGGTTTTTTTTTACTTGTTTGGTTATGCTCAATTAAATATATTTTCCAACGTCCAAGTCATATACTACCTCATTTCTAATGCAAATTATAAGACCTTGGTAAATTTATTGACAGGTTGTCAATCATTAAATGAATATCTTGTTCTAGCTATAAGGTCCTAAAAAGAATTTAGGAACTCGACAGGCTTCTTGCCTGGGTGCAAGTAATTGCTTATGTAATTCCTTTTTATTTTGTACAAGGCAATACGTATTGCTAAGCATTTTTATCATTTCAATACAAGTAAGCATGTTACCGACCCGGTTTTGTGGGATGTTGTTGCAGTACAAGCAAGCATGCTCTTTTCCATTCTTTCTTTTTCTTCTCTCTCTTTTTTTTTTTTTTTTTTTTTTTTGAAAACGGATTGTTCTAGTAAATCTTAACATAACATGGCAATTTCAGTTTAGCATATTGAACTCCGAAAAGAGGGGACCGCAAGCACTCGGGTCGGGGCTATGCTCAAAATTATATATTTGTACTCGAGGGTCGTCGAAGACTACTCGGTCACCCAGATGTATAAAACCCGCCACTCCACTAGAAGGATATCCTACTAAACCTAACTTAGGAGGGTATTCCTTTGCCCATGATCGGTAATCAA